AACGGGAGCCCGAATACGCTGGGTTTTAATCATTAATTAACGTTAGACCAATCTAAATCTTACATATATCTCTGGGGAGCTGTAGGAAACTTAATTCCTTTGGTTTTTTTATTTTGAAACAGAAGACAACATCTCTCGTTGACGGCAGTCATGTTACTTTTAATGATAATTACCGCCTCACAACTCATTTTTCACGTTGATAAATGCGATTCGCACGACCGAGTCGCGTTGGCATCGATGTTGCCACTTCTGGGGCGACTTTTTTTTTTATTTTTTTCGAGGACAGGTTCAATGGGTTTGAAGCCATCTTAAGACTCACCCCAGATTTACATGTGTGTCTGTTACACGTAGCCAAAATGTTTTAATCTGATGGTAAGCAACAAAATTTTAGAGATGTGAGAATGAAAAAAAACATCTTTTAACACAATGAAAGCATTTTCAAAACACACATATTATTCTCAACTTATTACAGTCGTAATCATAAATCACCCTATATATTAGTATTTGAAAATATGATACATATTATTTTAAAATATTACAACTGATATAATATTTTTAAATTCTCCAGATTGACGACTAATAATACGACACTCTGTGAACCTGGAAGATAACAGCGGGTTAACAACAAAGGGAGAATTCAAAAAGCCAGCGCAACAACAAAAGCGATCACAATTTGTCTTGATGGCTCGAAAAAGAATACGGCCCAAAGCGCTACCACCAAGGATGCTGCTCCCTGCCTTTCCTTTTCCTTTTTTTTTTTATTTTTTTCTGAGCCATAAACCATTTAAACATTTTCAACTTGTTAGCAATTAATTAAATAGATCGGCCGCTGGCCAAACTGCTTCGACTGTCATTTTTCTTGGGCGCTCTCGCCCCGTCTCTTACGCTCCCCAGTGCCCCCTTCTCTTTCGCACCTTTTAACCGCCCGTTAATTACGGCGACAGCATTCAATTTTTATGGATGACACACGCCCCATTTGCATGCCCTTCGTTCAATTTTCCCCCCAAAGGAAGAAGTCTGGCAACGCCGCGGCACGCTTCAAAAAAAAAATAAAATACCGCCAAAGGTTCAGTTTACGGGCAACCCTTCGCCCATCCTTTTCGCACACACTCACACTACCCGTCCCGTTCGCACCGTTTGGAAATTTATTTCGCTGTTTTTGCAATTTAAGGTAATTATTATGTACCTTTGGGGTAATTTTAACACCTCGACACCATCGACAAATATCATCTGGAGAGTGGGGTCTTTACGCGTGCAAAGCACCAGAATATAAATGTATGTATGTATATACATACATATGGTAGCGGCTATCAAGCCACCGAAATCTCAACTACAACAACAACAACCACAACCACAACGACAAACGATTCTTAGAAGCGCAGAGCTTTCAACACCTTCGATGCGTGCCCAACCGAAGGAGCACATCCTATCCTCCACATCCTCCCCTCATCCTGAGCACCTTAACCCTCCTCCTCCGTTTGCCCCTCGTGAGCCCCCTTAACCCTTCACGTACGCACTCTCTTAGCCAGTTATTTTTCACACCTCGACAACATTTTTTCGCACTTGGAGCCGGCATATTCGGTTACCGCAACAATCAAGCATTGCCGCCACCGCCATTTCGGAATACACTTGGAAAAACTGAAGTTAAAACTAAAACAAACTAAAACAGTTAAAATACTATACTATGATAATATGTTTTACCAGAAGAATTATTTCTGACTATTCAATGGATCGTCAATCTTAAGTTGCTTTATACAGTTTGGAAGTTTCCGTAAATTAGATTTTGAAAACATCCTTAGTGATTAAATGTCAATAGGATTTCCTCCCAGTGTACGTCTGCCGCTCCATGCTCCTTGCTCCATCTGGGAAGGTCCGATTCGGACTGCCGTTTTTAATAACCGAAGCTTCTGCCGCTTTTGCCGCTGATTTAGCTGGCTGTTATCTCACTCAGTTCATCGGGATGCGCGGTTCGACTTTGACTTTGGCTACGGTTTCAGTTTTGGTTTCTCGGCTTTTGGCCTTTGGGGCCGCGGAGGATCGAGAAGTCGTCGTATCCTGTGTGCCTGTCAGCACATTTGGCGTCGCAATTATCGCAAGTAGCGTGCGTGTAAATTACCGTTATTAGGTGTGATCGTGCGAAAGGCACTTCGGTCCTAAAAAATCATCTCGGCGATTCATCTGTAGCTTTAACTGCATCGTCAGCGGTTTCACTTCGCTTTCATTTCACCTCCGACTCCAATCGACTTAAATTAATTCTCTCGGTTATCTCGCAAGCCAAAGTGACAATTTCCGCTTTCCGATTCCATCCAGTGATATGACCAAAAAGGAACACCCATAAAAAGTCAAATTAATGTGATGACAATATGTTGATAGCGATCTGGGCTCGGATCTGACAGATTTCACGCTTACGATATCGATTGTAGCCCACCGCCGATCCAGTCTATCACGTTTTACACTTGTCCAGGGCGAACGTGAGTGGACTCGGGATTGGTTATTCCGATTCCGATTTCCCGGGTTCAGAGGTCACGTGATTTTCGTTTCGGTAGCTGGTGTTTGGAATTACAATTAGTGTTAATGAACACCGTGCACATAAAATGTATAATTAATTGTGTCAAACAGTGATAAGATTTTCAGGTTTTTAAGAATGCTTCCGTTGGCAGATTTTTCTGGGAACGTGAGAGCAACATTTTGGTGCACGAAAAACCTCGAGTGATGGTCTTAATATCGAACACTACTTATAGCAGTTAAAAAAGCGTCCATAATTTTCCGAAGGTCCCCAAGGAAAATATTAACCATATAATATTATTATATACCTAATATTTAAAAATAGTTAATTTCTAGATGAACGCTAAATATTTTCATCCCCTATCTGTAAACCAATTGGATATTTTCAAATCTTCTTACCAGAATTATGTAACTAAAAACTACGAGTAAAAGATGTCGCTGTAGTGCAACCAATTGGAATATGAAAACTATATAGAGACCGCCACTGACTATACAACATCCAATTGGCAATCCGTGCCTAAACCTGACAACCCTGACCAGCTGTTGATCCATTTTGATCCTTTTTCAACCCCCGAAAAGCACCAAGAGGATCAACACTTTCCACTTCTCATGCAGTGTAATTAATCATTGGCGTTTTGAATCCGCGGTTAATTAAAATGATCCCAAAACATTTTTACGTCCAGACTTCAGGGTGTGTTTGAATCAAATTTAAGAAGGGTTTTCGAGAAAGGTTTCCTTAAAAAAAAAATTAAAGGGTGGGCGTACAGGTGATGACGCAAACGATTTTCATTCAGGATATTGAAAATGCATTAGGAATATAGTTTCGGTAGCAGCTTTTAAAAACCAATTAAAGGGTAAACGGTAGAGTTTATATTCTTTTTTGGTTTTGATTTTCGTCGTTCTGTTTTTGGATCTTCTGAATCCTCCTTCTATGTTCTGGGATCTGATCTCTTTCTGGGCAGCTGCTTTCGAGGTTTCTTTAGGGTTAATCAAGGTTTTATACATTTATGGGTGCAATCTTGTTACCCGACTTTCGAGTCGCCTCCCCTTACCCTAACGGTATTGCCTGCCCCAGCGAAACAAAGTTGCAATTCACAACTTCGGAAATTTGCCTTAGTTTCTGTTTCGTTTACAGAAGTTTTTACAAATTTATGAATACTTTATGGGGCTCGGGGTAATTGAGGGAGGAAAAACAAGAAAGGCATAAAAATACTGACTCACAAGTCGGCTAATAAGCAGAAATTCTTGAACTCTGATAAATACTTCATGTAAAAAATTATTTTTTTCTCAAATTTTAAGTTTTATCTAACCCTATATACTTTTTAGGAATATGAATTTCATATTCAGTTATAGTATATTCTTCTTCCTATAAACTTCATTTATTAAAGAATAATTGCCCCAGTGTAGCGCCAACATGCAGATCGCTTGTCGAAGGATCAGAAAGGAGAGCTGCTTACGAGGAGGGAGTGGTGAAGTTTCGATAGCTTCGATTCTGCAGACTGCTATTAATACTCAATGTCTTCGTGATTGTTTTGTTTATATTTCCACTCTTGACCACTCATATTTGTGTGCCCTTGGTATTCATGATACAGCACACACTTGTGGGATTTGTCTGCCGACGCCGCCGTGCGATATTATTGTTGTTCTGGAGCTTATGTTAATATATATCGGACTGATCGGAAGCACGTGTCAAATGCGGCGTGCTAAGAAAAGGGAATAAAGAGGGTAAATCATATAGCAGGCAGCAGAAAAAGTTCAAGGACTGGGAAAAAATGAATTGGATACGCAGTTTTGGAGGCAGTGAAAGTGCTGCTACAACGTCGCCTTTTCATTTCAGTTGAGTTCGATTCGTTTGCCTTACCTTCCTTTCTTTCCCATGATGGATCACATTTTATATCAAGTTCCCCTCCTCACTCACTCTCTTTCATTTTTCGCTTTCAATGCAAACGACATTCGACAAAAGTGGAAGTGCATTCAAAGTCTTATTTCTTTTTCTTTTGGTCATGACAAGGATCTTGCAGATCCGAGATTTAAGTCTCGATTTTCCCAAAAAGGAAAATACAAATGCATATATATATACATATATATATATATGTGTGTGTGTGTATTGTGGACCCCAGGACACAAAGGACAAAGGGCACAGCGAGTGAGTGAGAGGGAGAGGGATAGGTAGGCAGGCGGCAGACAGGGACAGTTGTAGGAGGCACCCACCACACCACACACAACAAAATACCCCTAGAAAGAGAGAAAACATTATTACGATCCTGGGCAGCCAGCGATCACTTGTACTTGTGCCCAGGACTCGGGATTTCGAGGGCAGGTAGGTAGAAGGGATTCGGCGGGATTCGGGATTCGTGCGACCCCTGTTAGCAACCCCTGTTGCTCCTCTGCCGAAGTCGCTGCCTCTGCCTCTGCCACCGCCACCACCGCCGACCGTCGACCGGCGAGTATTTAAGGCCCTAGGCCAGGACACGAATTATCATTGCGGAATCTGATTCCACACAGTCAACATCTATCTTACAACACAACCAAGTCGGCGCAACTCGCAAGGATTACCATGACGAGCATCTGCAGCAGCAACTTCCAGCAGCAGCACTATCAGCTGACCAACGGCAACATCATGTTGCTGCAACACCAGCAGCAGCAGCATCACCAACAGCAGCAGCAGCAACACCACCAGCTGATTGCCCCAAAAATGCCGCTGGGCACCAGCCAGTTGCAGAACATGCAGCAAAACAACCAGCAGTCCAACGTGGGACCCATGATGTCGCAGCAGAAGAAGAAGTTCAACTACAACAATATGCCCTACGGCGAGCAACTGCCCTCGGTGGCCCGGCGAAATGCCCGTGAGCGCAACCGTGTGAAGCAGGTGAACAACGGATTCGTGAATCTCCGCCAGCACTTGCCGCAGACGGTGATCAATTCGCTGTCGAACGGAGGTCGCGGCGCCAGCAAGAAGCTGTCCAAGGTGGACACCCTGCGCATCGCAGTGGAGTACATCCGGGGACTGCAGGACATGCTGGACGATGGCACCGGCTCATCGCGTCGTCCCATTTACAGCTTGGCCGACGAGAGCAGCAACGATGGCAGCAGCTACAACGACTACAACGACAGCTTGGACAGTCCGCAGCAGTTCCTGCTCGGCGCCACCCAACTGAACTCTGCCCAAGCCCACTCCTACCACTCCGCCTCGCCAACGCCTTCGTACTCCGGATCCGAGGTGTCCGGCGGCGGCGGCTATGTTAAGCAGGAGCTGCCCGAGCAGGACCTCAAGTTCGAGTCCTTCGACAGCTTCAGCGACGAGCAGCCCGACGACGAGGAGCTGCTCGACTACATTTCATCCTGGCAGGAGCAGTGAGTGGATCTCACCGAAAAGCCAACACGATCAACCAAAAAATCAAACAATCAGCAACCTGTACAAATTGTAAATACCTCAAATGTTGCCTTAGTGAGTGACCAACCACCAAGTCCCAGATTCTATTTAAGCTCCTAAGATACAACCCAAACTTTTTTTTGCACTATTTTAAGACCATGGAAGACAATGATATAAAACATATATTTTTTTCTTAGTTCTAAGATTTGTTATAAGCATGGAAGACACTAAACTAACTACTTTTAAGGCCAAAATAAAAACAAACAAGCAAATTCAAAACATAAATTCAATTCAAACTCTTTTTATTGAACTCCACAACAATCTTGCATTTACAGCTGAGATCACTTTCCCTTATAGGTATTTTCACCCAACACGCTCGGGTTTTTTATCGGTTAAAAAAATTGAATTTTATTGAAAAATTATTCGATTCTTTAGCAACCATTTCTCCAACATTTGGTTTCACTTCGCTATCAAGAAAAATATTTCCTAATCATAATCATGAAGCATACATTTTCTGAATCTTAAATAAATAAAAAGTCTAATTTCCTTTTAACAGATTCAATTTCAGTTTACAGATTACTATTTAAAAAAAAAATCGAAAATAAAACTTTCGAATTTAACGCAAAAAGCAGCCGCCCAATGAATAAATTACAAAACAAGTGCCCACTGAATTAGTTAGTTTCAGAGCCTGGACATGACTCACTATTTTGGAACAGGAACACAAGAACCATGACAACCCATAAGGAATTCAACACCCGACCGGAAACAACAGCGAATTTTTTAGTTATTCGTTCCCTAACGAGTTTCAATTTGGACGGGCATTGTTAATGGCGCGTAAATTGCCCGGAAATAGGCAGTCACGCCTGAGAGAATGAAGTGGTCCTAGTCCAAGGATCAGGCCTCGAAGGATCGATCCACGTGGCTGGCGCACCCCGCGATACAGCAGCTTTTCCTCCTTTTCATCAAACTGGACGACGCCGTCGACGAGCCGTGAAATGCACTTCCGCTTACCCCCGAGAATGAGAATTCTAGTGGTAAATCCACCCCACGACAAAGGTGAAACTTTTGGGCGTGTGCCACACGATGATGATGAATATATGCAGGAATGTCATCTAGGCAAGAACTGCCACGCCCACCACGGCACACATTATGCAAATTTCCGATTGCACGCTGGACACGTGCACGCGTTAAGGGGCGAGAGGTAGGGAAACTTACGCCAAGGATCGAGGATTGATCCCCCGGAGGATATGATAATGGAACTCTAAGACAGGAAGCATATCGTCTTGCCGAAAATTCCAATATTTTTCCTCAAAAAAAAAAAAAGAAATAAAAAGGAAGACGGATATGTAGGTAGTGGACCAGGACAATGCGAAATGTGATTGTATGTCAGCTTAAGATAAAACCAGGAAACGAAACGAAACGAAAACGAAGACGACGCAGGCGAGGGAGAGTGAAACACTCTGATGGACCATTGTTACCGGATATCAAAAGGAGCTTAGCGCAGAGCAGTGTATCCAGAGATCCGGGATTTCGGATTTCGGATTCAGGACCTGTCCAGCAATCCAGACATAGGTGTCAAAATACTGGTCTAAGCCAATGTCCGTTAATGGGCTATACCCGGAGCCGGAGTTTTATGCAATCTTAGCTCACTACTGAGATCCATTTTCGCCGGCTGATCCCCGATCTTCTCTCACTAGGCTGAATCTCAAATGTCAGAGGACACAGGACAGAGGACAGAACAGAGATCACTGAACTGCGCTGCAATAAATTCATTTTCGAGGCCTCTTAGCCGCTCAGGAAGTAACTTCTTTTGGTCCTTGTCGCAGGAAGTGCGTATTTGTTTTGCATCTTCGGCCAGACGGCGAAGTCCTTCGGCCTGGTCGTTTATTTATTTTTGTAGATGCGCCCCTCGGAGGAAATACGAGCCAAATGTTATTCTATCATGTCGCAATTCAAAGGAAACTCAAACCCAAAAAAGGCAGGAACCAAGGACACGCAGGACACTTGTAGTTCTACTTGTACTTGCTCATGTTCTTGAATAAAGTGTAGGAGGTTGAGTTATGTGACTTTATGACGGCGTCGCAGCCGCGATCGCTTCGCTGGCCAAGATTTATGACCCATGTGCCAAAATACGAGAGCGCATGTTGCCCATGACTTCCCCTTTTCCTCATTATGAAGTGGTCGATACTCCTGGACGACCGACCATCCAGTGATCAATGGTCGCTTGTCACATTTCGCACTTAGTCAGGCGTCAAGTGGCCAGCGGTAGTTTCATCTATAATTCTGGACTTGGACATTGCTTCCTGGTAGCTCGTTAATGAGGCGACGACGAGTGTGCTACCAGTGTCCACTGGATCCAATATCTGTCTGACTCTCCAATTGAGTTGTTATCCAAGAAATTCGAACGAAGTGGCCAAGTGCTGGGATACCAGGAAGGTAGCAGGAAGGATCCTCGATCCTCTGCCAAAACATTTACTGTTTAAACTAACAAGGAAGCGAGTCAATCACAACAAGCCCTCAATTTAAAGAAAAAGAACTGTCAAGTAAGCCACAAATTACCAAAAATTACTTTTATATATAATATTATAAATCATAAAAAGAAAACAAGGCATTTTTATAGAGCAACTTAAAGAATAGTAGAGAAACTTTCTTAGATCTTCCCTGACCTAGGACTTCCATCTACAGTTAAGAAATCCACAATCTAATCTCAGCGATATGGATTCCTCGTCCTTCCTGCTGAAACAACTTCTTTTTCCCTATAACCAAACATCTCATTTGGACTGTCAGCTCCACATGCATTCCAGCGATTGGCTAACAGCGTGATATGATACCCGCGTGGGTTACTGGAAATCGGTTATCTACCGAGTTTTACCCTCGAAACCTTGTTATTTTATCAATCCGGACGACTCCAGATTTATTTCATTTCACTTTCGGGATACTGTTGTACCGCGATTACTGCGCTACATTTAGCACAGTGTGAATTGACGGTAGTTAAATGACTTTACAGAGTTCGTTATACAATATACACATATAGCATCCCGGGATCGTGATGTGGGGACTTTGACTTCATTGTTGACATGATGGGAAATGGAGAAACTAACCGCAGATTCAACAATGGCCCATATGAAACAATGCTGCGCACACGTGTCCGATTCTCTATTTTCCTGCTTTTTTCCCCCGACTTTCGGGGTCCAATAAACTATCAGGGGCAATCAATGTCAGAGCGTTTCTAGAGCAAGCCAAAGCCCTAGACAATGCAGTGCTCTATCGAAGGATCCACATTGAAAAGACTTCGCTGGAATATCCTGTAGCCCATTGTCCTCGAGTAAAAAGTGATTTTTTCTTTTATTCGGCTGCTGATTTCACGACATCATCGCCGAAAAAAAAAGATATGAAATGCGCGTTTCACTTTACGCGCATATAGCCAGAAAATGGTTCATTGATGTGTGAATCTTTGCATCGCCTTCAAGGATTCAAGGATCAAAAGGTCAAGATGCGGGAGATCCGAATCTCCATTACAAGCAAATCCCGGCGGCTTTATGGCGATCCTCCTGGTAGGACATTAGCATTGGGCTTGGTCCAAAGCAAGCGTGTCCGATGCGAAGGTGACGCTAGGAATTGCCCACCTCCGGGCGTAGAAAATCCTCTACCTGTTTTCCCTTTCTTTCTTTCGGGAAAATTGTTGGGGTTTTCTTGGGTGGAAATTTGCGAAACGAACAAGTGAAACGGCGTGAAAACCGAAGGCGATCGAACACGTGTTTATTGTCAAAACGACGCGACAAATGTCAGGGACTAACGATCTCCGGCAGCGAAAACACAGCTAGATATCAAGTAATATAGATATTCGGGAAGTGGAAAAACTAAGGAGGAAGAACCGGTAGAGGAAAGTATCAAATACAATTTTCGAGATATGACGGATTTCTGAACATGGTCTTAATAGACACACACATAATCATCATTAAGACAAGGTCTAGGTAAATATACAGATACAGGGAGTATTTTTCGAAAAATGAGAATGAATAGTAGTATCATTCAAATTAAAAAATTAGAAAGACTTTAGCATTGTAATTTTGGAATTATATTCCAGGAAGTTATTATGCAACAATTTAGTTTCCAGCATGTCATTGGTACTAAGTAAAATATTGTTGTAAGGATTATTTTCCTTCTCCCGGTCTTTGCCTTCGAACTGAATAAATCTGACCATGGGAATCCTGAAGCAAAATCTGGATAAAACCCGATTAAGACGGGGGATATACTAACAAAAATCGCATAGGGAAAATCAGATCAAACCAAAAATCAAAGCAGACACAAAGGCAGCGAAACCACAAAGACGACAAAAATAACTCGAGCGCGGGTCAAAAAATCCAGAAGTTGAGGTTCAAAATTGAGGTTGCGGCGGTGTCATTCGACATCTTCAAAGCAAAGTCACCGAACCAAAACGAGGAAAATGTCAACCACAAGACTGCGGCGATCGATACTGATCTAAAATCGAGATTCCCTTTATTTTTCATTCAGAGCACACAGGATAATGATCGAGATGATGACGTTGGCCATTCTGCCCCCTACCTTTGATCTGGTCCGATCTATTTCTTCTATTTTTTGCTTGCAGTTTAGTTTTTGCGACCGCCTCCTACGATGCGATAATCGATTTATCAAAAAAAGCAAAGCAAAAACCAAAGATCTCCACAATGCGCTTGGCAAAAGAATTGGGAAAACTCCAAACGCAAAACGCCGCCCAGTGCAGCAAATTTGTAATGCACATTGATGTGCATTAAGACGTGAAATTGTCACCATTGTTTTGGCCATTGTCCTCAACGCAACGGCCCACAGTCAAAAATTCAACATACAACAGCAATGGCAAAGAGAGCATCTCGGACCAAGTTCCACTTGGACTCGAAGAACAATAAAACGAAGTGATCTTTACACAGAAAACAAATATTTTGCAATAAAAAAAAACTACAATTTCTTCTTAGAAAACTAAAGCCAAAAAATATAACCCCTTACAAATTGGACTTTCGTTTTCTCTTAATATATTTTATGTTTTTTTTCTCAGTGTACCGGTCGGATCAGTCGGCGGTCTTCGAAGCAGCGTTGACAGCATCAAAAACCATGAGAATAGAAGATTTTAGGACAGTCGTCGAGATTCCGACTCCTTTCAAATTCATTTTCCGCTCTTGATTCTGCTGGCATTTTATGCAACCGAATTTTCATGGACCGCATGCCACACCCACCGAGAAAAATCTGAAAGGAACCGAAGGAAAAGATCCCGACAAAAAAAAAGGGAAAAAGA